GAAAACACCCTTCGAGAGCTGTCAGAAAGCACTCTCGAAGGGCAGTCACGAAGCATCTAGAGTTCACAGCCTGCAACACTTCGGATTTCTAGCGTCCTCCTTCTTACCCCCGACGCTGCTTTTCTTTTTCACGACTGTGCCTGGTGTCCTGGTTGTCAGAATGGGCTGGCGCTGTCTCGTAGTGCACTAGAAACAAAAGACAAACGCTCACGGAATTCGGGAGTGCTTCTAGACTGTGGGCATATAGAGTGAGGGCCTCGCCACACCTCTTGAAAACTCATTTTCAAGAGTTGCTGCGTGGTCACACAGCCTCTTGAAACTTGGGGCTTTGAGCTGTCAGAGTGGGTCTTGAAACCCTTTCAAGAGCGGCTCTTGAAAGATTCAAAACCCCAGCCTGCAACTCATGCTTTTTCAAGGGTCATAGACTGAACCCTTGAGGGACTACTGATTTTCAATAGTTGTCAGGCCGTTATCCTGATGGCCAATTGAAGAAAACAAAGCCGTACGCCTGTCGTTTTGCATGCTTTGTCCAGCACCATCGCCCTTTCAAGACTGCTGTGTGGCGAGGGACCCAAAACTCTGGAAAATGTAACTCTTGAAAACATCTGACAGCGCTTGAAACATTCTCCCTTTTCAAGAGTGGTGTGGCGAGGCCCTAAAGCGGAGCGAGGCTTCTTTTTTCACGAGTGTTAGGGGTCTGACAGCTCTAGAAGCACTCACGAATTCTTTTGCGAGTCTAGACTGGAGCGAGGCCCAAACTCTCACCAAGCAGCCAGATTACCTAAGAACAGCCCCAAATAGCTTGAGCAAAAATAGCTCGCTGGCCCAGATTTCATCGGGGAAAAGATTCCAGGCCCAAACGAAGTGTCATGATATTCTGCAAATTTGAACCATCTCCAGAAGGGCACACCCCAATATACCAGATTATACGAGCGGCACGCAGACTGTCACGTATGTGCGTGCGGCAGAAGTGCACCAGATGTACACCATTGCCAGAAGTTTTGCAGGGGTCTGGCAGGCCAACAATAGTTGTTACAGGTGTGCAGATGGGGGAGCCTTTTCTGGAGACCGACCCCGACGCTGCTGATCTGTTCTTTTCCTTGTTTTCGTATTTTTCTGGGGAAGGGTCTGTACCTCTGGGGAATTCGAGCTGTTTCCAAAATAAAAATAAAAAGAATTCGAGCTGTTACCATCGAGTGTGAACATTGCGGATTCGCGCTCTCTGAGCACCAGCGTCAGGCCAGGGCGGGGATGACTGTCGCCGCAAACCAACATTTCTGCATCTGCCGTTAGATTAATCGTGATCGGACAGAGCGTGGGAATTTATTTTTCCCTCGTCTGGGTGGTACCAGCGGGTAGAGAGGCATCACTCACGGAGATATCCGTGGGCATTCCCCAAAACTGGGTCGCCACAGGGCCGTCCATCTGGTGATTAGCATACACATATGCAAAGCTGTTAATAAGCAGATCACGGGCTCGAAGCCGGCCGTTTCATTTTATAAGATCAACACGTCACTCATGGGGATATCCACCAGCTTTCCCCCAAACCGGGTCACAGAGGTGGCCTCCAGCTCTCAATAGTGCACATATGCGTACGTCATGGGCTCAAATCCTGACACCAGTGGGGGAAGCCCCCATTTCTGGATCGGCAAACGATTGTACAGAAAAGAACAGAAGTCACAAAAAGCCGTGCGTCCCGCCTCCTTACCTTTTGTCCTTTTTCGAAAGCGCAACCGCTTTTTTAATTTATATAATTTATTTATTATTGTGGTCCGATGGACCACGGATCAGGGGCCAGGCCCCACTGGCGTGTGTTCTTCATTCTTGACCGCCGATTGTGGCGGGAATATACAGATGATGGCCGGAAATGAACAACACCATCGAGTGGGACTTGGCCCCAGATCAGAACAGATACTACAATTGATCTTAGCCAACAGGCTGAGAAAGGTATTGCAACCGCTTTGAGGTATCATCAGCGAACTGACAGGCTCCAGACAGATACTATTTCAAAGCAGTTTCTATTCTTCAACCGCTTCCATTAACCCCTGGGTTCGAACACAGGCCTACGTATCAACAGGTGCCCTGGGGTTAATACGCATCAACAGGTACCCTGGGGTGTGCTACGTATCAACAGCTATTCAACCGCTTCCATTAACCCCAGGGTTCGACCAACAGGTACCTTAGGGTTTCGAACACAGGCCTACGTATCAAGAGGTACCCTAGGGTGTGCCAACTTCCTTTACGGTTAGCCGTTGAGCTACCGTAGGCTTCATCGAACAAACACAGCAAGGCTGGTGGCTGGTCCGTCGGCCGTTCAGCGGCGGAGCACATTGCGGTTCGAATCCTCTTCCCCCGCGCCTACCAAGGAATTTCCCGCCGTCGGCTAGCCGGCCCGCCCGCGTTCGAATTCGAATGCCCGCCCCCCGTCGACCGATCCAGAGGGGGGCGGTGCTGGCCGCGAAAAGGCCCGAAAACTTTCTTTTGGGCGGGGGAAATCTCCAACTTCGAAGTTCGAACTGAACTTCGAATTCGAAGTTGGACATTTGGACGTTCGCCGGCCGGTAGACTCGCAGACTCGCAGTTCCCCAACCTCCAGTCACCCCGCCCCCGCCTTCGCCGCGAAGGCATCTCTCCGGTCGACAGTTGCCACCGTCGCCAAAGGCAATTCTTCTGCTCGACTGTTGCCGCCGACGCATTGAACCATCTTCGCCACCTTAGCACTCTGAGTTCACACCGTTGCCGGCGTAGAGTGTTGGCGACAGGCAGCGACTACGGTAGGAGCAAGGACAGCCAGAGGCAGCAGCAGCGGAGGCAGGCAGCAGAGGAAGGCAGCAGAGGCATGCGTTCTCCTCCTCCTCCTCCTCCTCGTCCCTCCCTCGTAATCGTTCTTCTCCTCGTTGTTCCCACTTCATCTTCGTTGTCCTCCTCCTCCTCTTTCCTCCCTCGTCATCGTTCTTCTCAGTCTCCTCCCTCCCTCGTTATCGTTCTCCTCCCCTCCCTTCTCCTCACTTCCTCCCTCGTCATTGTTCTCCTCCTCCTCGTCCCTACTTCGTCCTCCTTTTCCTCCTCGTCCCTACTTCGTCATCCTTTTCCTCCTCGTACCTACTTCGTCATCGTTATCCTCCTCTTTCCCTCGCCATCGTTATCCTCCTCCTTCGTCCATTGTTCTGCTGCTCCTCCTCCCTTCCTCATCATCCTTCTCCTCGTATACCTCCTCTCGTCGTCGTTCTCCTCCCCCTCCCCCCCTCCTTTGTCATCGCTCTCCTCCTCCGCTTCCCTCCGTGGTCATCGTTCTTCTTCTTGTCCGCTCTCCCTCGTCATCTTTCTCCTCCTATTACGGTATCGTCAGCTCTCAGGCATTTCTTTTCCCTTTCCCGGGCAGTTTTCCGTTTCCCTGTTGATGCTGTTACTTCGAAGGCGACATGGAGTATATCCTTGATTGCCATTTTTGCGTCAATGCTGTCTTCGTCAGGTCTGCTATTACTTTGTTTTCGTGGCTGTTGTGAGTAGGTAATGACCACGTTGAAGGCTGTGGTCATCATCTCGAATCTGCCGATGGTAGAGTACCACATGATGTACCGTCTTTCACCGGAAGAGAACACGACGTACGGTGATTATCGCTCTATCTTAGACTGCATGTTGTCCCAAATGCGGCTATAGAGACCGTTCGTTCTATTCGGAAGAAGACGGCTGCTTATTGTGTTCGCGAAGTGTGCGGTCCTTTCTGAAGTGACTTCTGACGAGCGTTGACGTCATCCTTTAATAGTTGGTGGCTTAGTACGTACATGACATGGTTCTACTTCGCGCTATGCTCAGCGAGCGTTGACGTCATCCTTTAATAGAGTTTGTGTGATGAGCACTATTTCAGATTTGATACTGTAATAATGCTGTGTGATAGGGCCCCGCTGCACTACTCTCGAAATGTGCAAAACGAGAGTGAATCTTCCGCTAGAATAGGGAAAGATGCACCGCCATGGTTTTTGTCTTTTGTGCATGTCGAGAGTAGTGCGGCGAGCCCCATAATCCGTTACAATAACGCCGACGTCGATCTTCCTTGTGTTCTGAATTTGCGACTGTTGTCAGCGAGAGCCTGTGACGACCTACCTACCTGATTTTGGTATCGCGGTTTTGATTTTTAATGCTTTGGCTTCGGTAGTGATGGGCTGTGTTTTATTCTTCTTAAATGCTTTATTTCTTTATGTCGTGGAGCCGTAAAAGACAAGGTCGCGATGAGAGCATGAAAAACCGTTCTGAGTTCTTTGAGACATCCGTTAAAACTGGAACGACACAAACAAGGCTGAAAAAAAAAGGCTTAGAACATCATCTTGGACCTTGAGCTGTTAAGGTTGACGCACACAAATTTGGAAATGGTGCAGATTTTTATGAATCTGAGTAGAACAGAGAGGAGCATCCTCTCCTGGAATATAGATTGTTCTACTGCTTGGATAGTCTAATGATTTTGACTGGAACGACACAAACAAGGCTAAAAATCATCGTGAGTCCAATGATGTTGACTCCGTCTTGCTGTCCTTGCTGCAGGGTGTTTTTTTTTCGGCGCTAGGATAGTCCCACGATCGTGAGGTGTACGTCTTTGTTTCGCAAGAAGGTGGAGCAAGCTTCGCATCGTATTCTCTCGGATCGTCGTTGTACTGCTTGGTTGTCCTCTTTACTTGGCGGTCATCAGCGGTGCTCATCGCGTATTTCTTTTGGGAGTTGTCATCTCGATTCTCACTTGATTGATGACTCGAGCTAGGTGTGTATGAAGATGAGGTGTAGAGGAAATGGAGAGTGCGTAGTGGAGAGTGGGTAGAGGATAGGAGGGAGGTAGCCCGGTACGAAAGGGGCATATATCGAATGTGCAAGGAAAGAAGTGTCTTCCCGTATTCCCATATTTGTCAATCGTGGATAGAAAATCGTCAGGGGAGAGGAAGAAGCGCGTTGAAAGAGAGACGTACGTAAGCAAGCATACCGAGAGCATTGGCTCTGTGTCTGTAGACGGCAAGTCGAAAAACCTCCTCAAGTTCTTAACTACCTGAGCGAATTCGAAGCACGATGGTGAGGACACGTCGGACCGCCCCGCCCTCGCCGTCTCCTCCGCCTGAGCGAGTTCGCAGCATACCTGAGCGAGTCCGAAGCGCGATGGTGCCCGTGAAGACGGAGATCAAGACGGAACCGGAAGAGGAGGTGGTGGTGCCCATTGCGGTGAAGGTGAAGACGGAACCTGTGGAAGTGGACATAGTATCCCAGGAGGCGGTGCCCAATGCGGTGAAGGTGAAGCCGGAGCCAGAGGAACTGGAAATGGAGATGGTGTCACAGCCGAAGATCACCTGTGTTCCGCCGGCTCTGCAGCCGAAGGGCACTTGTTCTACTTCTGGTATGACCCCGTACGAGATAGAGCGGCTTGCTCGCATAGCTGAGAATCGAGCACGAATGGAGGCTCAGGGGCTGGCCACCGACGTGTCGAACCTCACCCGAGCGATGAGATCTGTGAAGTCTCATTACACGCCACGTCGGACCAGGAAAGTCGTGGCGGGGAAGATGGAGGATGAAGAGGATGGAGAGTACAATGGTTCGTCGCAGGGGGTGCGATCGCGATCGTCTGTTGCTGCGGCGGAGCCTGTGAGGAGATCCCGTCGCCTTCAACATGCAGCGCCAATCCTCTATGCCGAGGGTGGTGAACTGGATGAAGGGCAAACACGTGTGAAGAGGGAGAGTGGTGATGGGTTGGAATCTGACTTTTCTCGTTTTCAGCCTTCTTCTGCCGTCTCTCTTTCCCAAGGAAGTGGTTATGGAGTTACGTCCAAGCGAAGGAAGGTTTATGATCTCGAAGCTGTCTCCGACCTCCCGCAGCCCAGTCAACTCCCGCAGTACCTCCAAGAGCGTAGGTGCGACTGCAGGGACAGAGGTAGTGTTTACGATCCCGTGGTGGGGCTTTGTTGCCATTTCTGCAGGCAGAAAAAGCTCTGCGGGGAGGAGGACTGTGAGCGCTGCGGTTACATGGACATCAACAAAATGTGTCTCGGGAAAACGTTTTGCAACCGCTGTAAGTCTGCGACGGGCATCTTTTGTCGAGCATGTATTAAAATTAGGTACGGACAGACGATCGAAGAGGTCAGGGCTGACCCCGCCTGGTTATGTCCTCACTGTAAAGAGGAGGAGGGGACGGACCCGTACTTCATCTGTAACAGTTCCATTTGCATGAGAAAGAAAAATCTCCCTGCTCTTGGGATCGTCATCCATACAGCACGCAATTTGGGTTATGCATCTGTGCAACAGTACGTCGCAGCTTCGTTGAAAGGAGAAACCTCCACGAAGTGTTTGGAGTAGACTGGGAAAAACGATGGCGCTACTGTTGCCGATTTTTTTGTGTAACGAACATAGTTATTACCTACCTTTCTCCTTTTTTCTTACGCCCAACCTTGGTTGGCAGCTTCAGCTTATCCTCCTCTTAACTTCGATCACGAGGTAGGTTTTGTGTCATTCCGTCGTGTCGATTTGCAACCATCCCGGCAGAGACCTTGGTTGCATGCGCACCTTCTTTCGCGATTTTATGTAGTGATGGGCGCTTGCACTTGAGACCACTACTGTTCATGTATATAAAAGGAAGCATCAGTCCTGTGGTGTCCGCGCTCTCTGCGGACTAAAGATGACGTCTTCCTGCTGGCGATACGATTAATCGGCGACCGACACTTGAAGGGTGAACATCGAAAGAGAATGGAGAACCAACCTCCTGCAGCAGAGAGTTGGCAAGACAGGTCGCGAAGAGTTTCATACAAGTGAAGTGAAGCGAATGGGAGAGAGAGAATGAGCAAGAGCTGAATGTGGTGGTGTGGGTCTGGTTGCTGTTTGCGACAGAATGACACCATTTTGTCGGTTTGTTGCTGTGAAGCCTCGTTCGACCCGTGCGCGTTGCAGTTCAGGGTAATCTGGACTCAGAGAGAAAGCAATGCTGACGAATCAAGAAAGCAATCGTGACGCAGCATCAGTCAGATGAGGTGCGGTTCGCAGTCCTGTGCTGTCCGGAGAAGCAGCAAGAAAGCTACGGCCACGCAGCAGCAGTCGGGAGAAGCAGCAAGAAAGCTACGGCCACGCAGCAGCAGTCGGGAGAAGCAGCAAGAAAGCTACGGCCACGCAGCAGCAGTCGGAAGATTGCTATACAGTTGCAACACAAGAGAGGGTTAACGTTGGGCGGCGCGTAGATGGAAGGATTAGCTGAGACGAAGGAGAAAGACTTGTAGAAGACGAAGAAGAGACAGGTCCGCTCCAATCAAAAAGAAGGGCGGGAAAATTTGATGACCTAGTCGGGCGACGAGCCCCGCGAATTTGGGGGAAAGCTCTAAACGACATAGTGAGCCCCCAAAGTGTAAACCTTGTGTACGAACGAGAGAGAGAGAGAGAGAGAGAGAGAGAGAGAGAGAGAGAGAGAGAGAGAGAGAGAGAGAAGATGTGTATAAGAGACAGTCTTTTCCCTTAGTANAGAGAGAGAGAGAGAGAGAGAGAGAGAGAGAGAGAGAGAGAGAGAGAGAGAGAGAGAGAGAGAGAGAGAGAGAGATCGTCGTGGGTGTTTCTTCCCTCTTCTTTTCTTCTAGTTACCAGGGGCTTCAATCTGTGTGTGGGGAGAAGCACAGCCATTGCACTCCGTAGGATAAAGACATTATTAGCAATAGGCTAGCAAAATACAGACCACTTCTCTCCATTTAATCCCTTCCCACTCAGCCGCTGACAAGACCGGAGATAGATTCCCACGACTTCTCGCCTAGTAGAGAAAGCCCTCCACTGCGACTGCCTGACATTGCTTTGTGATAGGGGCAGCAGGCCTTCCGCCTGTGAAGTCAGCAAACATCCATCCTGTATCACCTCCAATCCTTTGGCTCGATATTTGCAATCTTGAATGTCGGCTTACGGCGGTCAGAAATTGTTTTGCAGCGTTTCTTCTATTCTCTCTTCTTATTGTGTACGGGGGCGATTTTTTTTCTTTTTTCTTTTTCTTCAAATTTGTCTTCTGTTTATCCTCTTGGTCCTGTTGGTAGAGTACCAGTCGGCAGCAACCAAAGTCGCTTCTCAACCTTGTGGTCACAAACAACTTGAAACGAACCCTCCTACTTTGCACTCCCCAACTTTGGTCGTCGCCTATGTCGAACTCTTGCCATCGAAGAGAGATTTACCACACCAGAAGAGCCAGTTTCGTTACTGCTTAAAAAAAAAAAAAAGTTTCGTTACTGCTTTTGAGACTTTTAGCTCTTGTTGTTCGGAGGGTGCTGTTGTTTTATCTCTTTTCCCGTGTCGGGTCTCAATTTCATGTCTTCCCTCTTGGGCCTCTCCCTCCTGATCGCGTTTCTTTTCACCCCCTCCCCTCGCTCCCAATCTGTGGATGGAAATACCATCAGGCTGAGCTTGATCGGGTATTTACCTACCAGCTTCTGAATGAATCTGGATGGATTTCTTTGCCCAATTCACAATGTGAGTATGCGCTGTCTTTCCCCCTTCTCGTCTAACCCTCTACCGTCTTCCGCCGAACGCAATGCACCTTGGTAGCGAATGTATACAAGCTAGCTTTCTGGTCCGGTGCAGCCAAAATGAGGGTGCGTTGTGTTCGGTGGAAGACGGTAGTTTCATTCGTGTTTCCATGTCCTTGACGGGAGTTTGTTTTCACTTCACAGGCCTGCGGTGGGGGTATGTCATGCCGAGGAGGGAAGATGTCAAAACAGCTCTACCCCTGACCAGGGGGTCTGCTGAGTCTAATCTCACCGTTATGTTGTCGTGGAGGAGAAAAACACAGGTGGAAAGAACAGCAATGAATGTTCCCGATTCCGGGGGCCATATACAGGATGTTCCTGTACAGGGCAGAACGGCCAGGTGCATGATTTGTAAGCTGACTGTCCAAATGTCTAGGTGCAAACAGGGTCTGGCATGGGATTTGGAGAACCACCTGCTGACGTTTTTTTTTTTTTTTTTTTTTTTTTAAATGCCCTTCACCACACTAGCATAGTCGTTCTAGCAATTTCTTGGATGCCTGACATCAATTCTAGAATGCACCTGGACGCTGTTGTTAGTTAGGTGAATGCTCTTCACCTTCAAGATATGCACTGGCCAGTTGTGCGAGTGCCAGTCTCTGGATCTTGAAACTCCACTTGGGTAGCATTCGGAGGGTATACCCTGAACAGGACTTCTCTGGATGTATTGCCGTGTAATTATATGATGATATATTCAGCTTTTATCAATTAGCCGTTAACATATTTCGTCTTGGGTTACTTATCTTTCTTTCCTTTTTTTTTTTTTTAATGTGGTCCGATGGTCCACAGATCAGATATCAAATTGACCAGAACAGATACTACACTTGATCTTATCCAAAAGGCCGAGAAAGGATTTGGTGTTACTTTTCATCACATATCGGAGTGCTTTCTGAAGTCATACCAGGTCCACTACCAAAGCCTGGATTTGATTGATGATAAAAGAAAGGTGGGATGTTGCTGGTGAAGTGTTGTTGTTACGGGCTGTGTAGTAGAAGGGCAGAAAGCATTCAGGTTTTTGTTAACCCCTGAATCTGGACGTGTTTGTGGAGATGTGAGGAAATAGCGTTGAGTTTATCAACCGCACATCTCCACAAACACGTCCAGATTCGGGCGTTGAGGAAACTCGATGCTACTACCAAACTGAGGAATTGGACAATAAATAGCAAACGTAGACTGGGGCCTCGTCTCACCAGCAGCGTGGAGTTTCCTTAACGCCTGAATCTGGACGTGTTTGTGGAGATGTGCAGAAATAGCGTGGAGTTCACCACCACAAACACATCCAGATTCGGGCGTACGAGGGCCCCGGTGAGGATGCACATAATATTAGGTCTGTCTATCCCATGTTATGATGGAAGCCTGAATAGAAAAAAGGGGATGCACATGTTGGGTGTAGAGATGGACTACAGAAGAAAAGGGAGTGCATGATCTGCGTCTGCTGGACGATCATATGCCCAGATGAATTATGTCTGGCAAAGAACTCTCCCTTCCAACTTCAGCCAGCTCTTTTTCTGTCCTTCTCCTCACCAATATAGATTGGAGCGACCGGGCCGCGCACTAGGGGAGGTTGCGCGTATCACCTTGCCTAGTGACGCTGGACTGGCTTTCTTTAATTAAAAAAAAAAAAAGAGGTTATTGCTTCCCTCATTGAGGGGTCGGGAGGATCGTTGCCAGTTTTGTCTTCTGGGATTTGAGTTTCCTCCATTGGAAAAAAAAAAGGTTACTGCACTCGAAGTTCGCTTCCCATCTTAGGCAGTTTTGACGCTGTTATGCTCAGTTATCTGCGGCTGTGCTCGATGCCAGAACGACGCTCGCCGGTGCCGGGTAACCTGCTCTGATTGCAGGAGCGTGAAGCCTGGTAGAGAGAGATCTGGGGATGATTTGGGGTGTGGGCATTCCAAGGGACAACCAAGGGTGTTGCTGCTGGGACAACGCGGGTCGGAGCTGGGGCGAGTCGTGTTGCCCTGTAACCCAGCAGCAGGGTGGGGGTGTGAGGCCTGGAAAAGCTCGGCAGGGAGTAAGACTGTTGGAAAGCCGAAGGGTTTGTTAGGAATTCTGAGGGTTAGTCAGTCGGGACATCCGTTAAAATTGGAACGATACAGAGAAGGTTAGCATGGCCCCTTAAAAAAAAAAAGGACTTGTGAGGGTTACGAGCAATCGTAGGACCATTGTGTTGAAAAGCTTTTGCACGAGTAGTTGCGTAATAGGTAGGTCCTTAATAGGTCATCAGATATTCAGGATCCCTAAAAACCCTAAACCCTAAAATGTCAACTGTAGAGAACCTAAAACCTCTGGAGCTTAAAGAATTGCCGATGTCTGCTGCAGGAGGAAAGTTCTCAGGTGTTTGTGCGGGTAGCAATCGCCCACTTCTTAAGTGATTGTCTGTTTTTTGGCACGTGGACAAATGTGTGGCATTATCCATGGATCTCTTCGGTAGCATTTGCAGAGCGCTTCATGGTTTGTCCTGCTGCATACCGCGGTCCTTGTAGCTATAGCTGGAGCCAAGGTGTCTCCACTAAGGTGTGTGCTTGGGAAAAGTAATCATTCAGATTCGAAGATCGAATGTCAAATCTCTCAGGTCTATGGGAGTTTTTCCGACGCACTTGCCGAGTCTTGAGGTCGAGCTGTTTTTCTCAGAGGATCGCCTCTGCATAACGGACAAGGAAGCAGCCTATAGATGGAGTGGAAGTCTGTTCGTAGGGTTTTGTTCAGTTCACAGAAGGGTTTCATTACTAGTGTCTTCCCTAAGGAGGGGAAGTCTGTGAGTAGGGTTTTGTTAGTAGGGTCTTCCCTAAGGAAAAGGCGAGTGGACATCATCCATAGATTTCAATGCTAAGAATGATGTTGATGAGCTTATTTATTGTGTTGTTTTATCGGAGGGCTATCGGAAAGGGGGACTAAATGAATAGAGAGGCAGTGCCGATAGTGAAGCCACTTTTTTCGATGAACTCTCTGCAGAACTCTCACATTCCTTTCAGACAACTTACTAGGGTTATCCACGATTGAACTTTTTTTTTTGGCAAACATTGGGGCCCAAGTCCCACTTACCCGAACTCTCGATTTTCAAAAAAAAAAAAAAAACAAAAAAAAAAAAACCTAGGTTTTTGACCGTAGGTAACCCTGGAAATCCGGCCAGAAATGGAGAATCTGGGCAAGCGAGACTAGGCCCTGGGGTATCGATGAGGCGAATGTAGCTACACTGGGAATGAAGAGTACTGTTTAAGGACTCGAGAGATCGGGGGGGTGGGGTGGGGTGGGGGGGAAGGGGAGGAAGAAAGCAGAGCAGATTGCGAACAAGGAAGCAGATAGAATGTGATAGGAAATAAAAGAAAGTACAACACATGTGCAGACTGAAAACCAAAGGTAGAGGTGTCCGATTAACCGGGAGCGAAAGCATAAATACTGCAGTTGCGGAGTACAAAAGACAGTTCCAAGGATCTGAGACAAAAAGCATAATAAACTCTG